GGCAGTTGGACGACGATGGATTGAGGCGATGAAGAGGGCTGGCAGGGGAAGGAATTTGGGGATTAGGTTTTCTAATTTGGGGATTTCGATTTAATTTGGGGGATTTATTTTTCACTGACCAAAAAATGAGATAATTCAAGGTTAAATCCCTAAACTTCCCACATGTTTCAAAACCGAGCTGCAAACTTTTAAAAATGTGCAATTTGGTCCTCAATTTTTCCTTTGTTACGACTTTAATTCGATCTTTTAAATTAATAAAAAACTTTAAATTAATAAAATCTAGACCCTAAATTGGGGTGTGACAATTACTTTATAACAATATTTTACTAATACATCTTTGATAATTTAAACCAGTTGAAATTTGGAAACCACCACCTCCAATGTTTGTCAAGGTGAACTTCGACGCCAGTTTTGCAGTAGAAGCACTATCAGCGGTGCATGGGAATAGGAACGGCACGACGCTCGAATTTGGCAAGTTTTTATTCGATATTATTGGATCAAATTTTTAAAGATTTTAGATTCTTGTTGGTTGAGCTTTTTAAAGGATGGGTGTGAGTCGGGTTTGATCGAACTTAAAAAATAATATAATTATATCTCATATATTTTAGGATCATTACAATGAAACCTCCCTCAATATTATTATTTTTCAATTAGATCATTATTTTAGAATAAAATTAATATTTTTATAAAAATATTTATTTTGAGTCGGATCAGATTCAATTTGAATTTTACCTCAAAAGAAGAATCGAGTATTGGGTCGAATAAAACCACCCTATTCTCAAGTCGAATCAAAATTTAGGTGAGAATGTGTATTTTTTTGAGTCTAATCAAATCGAATTAACCAAAAATCGATCCAACAAATCCGATTAGACCCATGCCAATCCTACATGAGATGCATTTTGTGTTGGATATTTTTGTTCTGACATATTTTTAATGGATATAATTCCGAATCGGACAATATAATTTATCTAAAAAGTTAAAAAAAAGTTATTATATAAATATACATGAAAATTTAAAATAATTATCCGTGCATTGCACGTGTATGCAAACAAATTGTCTAAAATATAAAAAGAATTTTTTAAAAATTACACGTAACTGGTGGTGAACATTTTGCCTTAAATTGATAACCATCTAATTAGTCAAAAATTGAAACTAAGAAAAAAAATATTGCCCTAATTTCACCATTGAAAAGAAATAAGTTCACTATTTTGCCATCCTTATTGTTTAATACAACGATATTAGCACCTAATCTACTTTGTTGATTATTTGAGTTTTTATATATAGTGACCTATCTACCTAATTTTCTCTTTTTCTTTTTCATTGCCTTTAGTATTATTTTTTTCATCTATGTGATCAATGACGTCATAAATCTAGTTGGATTTGACATCATCACGACTAATTAATACTATGCTTATTTGTTATCATGATGATCTTCCCAGTTTTAAGCCCTCTAATTGGATTTGGATATTTGATTTGTGTTCGAGGATAGTTTTTTCACGCCACTCGACTCTGATTTATGATTTTTTGGTGGTATTTCAAAACTTTGATCTCCTTTTATGGTTCGTTTGCTAATGCAATCATATTTTTTTTCGTATCTACCTTTTGTTCTAGTTTATTTGGTTATGTTTTTTAACATTTTTCTTATAAGGTCTTTATGCGATCTTAAGTGACTAGTTTTTTATGTTAATGATTATAAGAAAACATCCCTATTCTATGTTTAATTTACGATTATGATCGTAAATCTTCATTATAGTTTGTATATACTTTTTATTTTTAATAAAAATTGACAACTTTTGTCGATATATATATATATATATATATATATATATAATGACCTATCTAAAGTCTCACAATTCAAATTCATTAATATAAAATAAGAAACCTTAGCATAAAAGAGTTTTCTAAACCTTAAATCACCAACTTTTACAATTTTGTTAGATCCAATTTCACCTCATCAAATTAGGTATCATCCAATTTTGTTATAGTTTACATATCTTTTGTTGATTATCCAATTTCATACCTTTGAAATTTTAATATAATTTCTTTAAAGTCCGCATCACTTGATATAAAATCGTGTGTTTGTCCCAAATTGCACCGATTAAGTATACCATTACAGGTTAATTATTTAAAATTGGTTAGATATCAAAACACACTCTTATTACTCCTTTCATCTTCCATCTTGTAAGATCACTCCCAACTTAACTTGAAAGATTTAATCTCTAATTTTGATAAGAGTGGTTAATCTACTAATAAGCCACTTTTATTTAAGTACAACTATGTTTCAAAGATTTTCAAAAAGGTTAAAACCCATTTTAAACGATTTGGTGGCCGATTAAGAAAAAACCATTAGCATTACATAACGTATCATCTATGACAATGGTTTACGTATATCATTGAGTATGACCATGGAATGACAAAGGAAGCAACGGTTTCATTTTCATGGATTTTTAATAAAAAGAATTCATGTTTCGTTTAAACCATGCAATGCATTTCGCTCATAATTTCTTGTTACTACTATAGTTATTATTGCATTGGATATTTAATATTTAAATTTGTTATTGTTGTATTTTTTTTATTTTCTACAAGTCGTATTTTTGTTGTCATTTTTTGTCAAAGTCTTTGAAGTTTTAAGTCCTCCTATCAGCTACAAAATCTTTGAAATGACCACAAACAAGCCCATGTGACCAACTAAATCTACCACTCCTTCCGTCCCATTAAATGTGTCTCTTTTGGTGTTTAAAATTATCCCATTCAAAATGTTATATTAGAAAAATCAAAAAATAACAAAACTTATATTTCATTTTTTATCCTTGTATGTCCAAATCTTTTACACTTATCAAAATAAATATATCAAATCTATCAATAAATTTTTAGGGATAATTTTATCATTTCCCTTGGTCAAATATATCTCATAAAACTATATGCATAATCAAATATAAGACACAAATTATGAGACGAATGAAGTAATAGTGAGGTCTATTTAACTTTTCAACATACAAATAATCATTAACTTAAAACTGCTCAATACTAAGGGTATATATATATATATATATATATATATATATATATATATATATATATATATATATATATATATATATATCACCATGGAAGCCTGAAGAAAAAAACTCTTGCTCTCTCTCTCAGGCTCAACTTCTTTATTATTCAACATCTTCTTCAATATATTTTTCATCTTTTTTTTTTCAAACGTCTGACTGTAACTCTTCGCTCAAATAAAAGAGGGCGAACTACCAAAAATATCATAATCTTATTTCTTTCCTCAATAATTACAAATTATATTTAATTGTTAAAATTCAAAACAAAATACTTTATCAATAAATTATTTGGTTGTTGGCGTATAGTATCATCAATAATTTTAAACCTTACGTATCATTGTGGGATATGAATCCCATTATGAAAAAGGTAAATAGATTTGAAACAAATCAATAAACACCTTCAATGGTGGCCATTATATTAAGGGATGTACATTACCAAGAATGGACCACAACAATGGCACAAAAAACATAAAGCTGACTTGATCATGGGATTAAAAGAAAGAGTTTCATTTCTCTATCAATCAATCTTCAATCTGTGTACAATGAAAGCCTATTTAGAATATTAGTTTTTTTTTTCCATTGAAGGGTTGAGTTCAAATACTGACAGGAATGAGGAGCTCCCTAAACTCAGTGTGATAGGGCTAATAATAACAAAAGAAAAGCAGAGTAAAGTAAGAAGGAGAAAGCTAATTGCAGTCACCTAAGGTATTTTTTTTCCAATAATATGATAAGTATCCAAAATTTTCATAATTAATTTAAAACGCACACAAACTCTGCAGATATAACTACTCGAACTTAAGATAAAAATAATATTCCTTTTTACTGTTAAAACCACTTAATGAATTCTTCACTTAAGACAATTTGATTCTATGAAATTTGGCTTCAAAATCTTTACCATTGGTGTTCAATATGTTTGGTCCCCACTTTGCATTTGGTAGATAGAGGGGAAATTTTTATATAATTTTATAATAATTTTTTATTTCATAAAAATTTATAAAACTATCTTCTAACGTAAAATTTTTCATCTGAGTTTAAAACAGTAGGGGGCTCTGGACAATCATGAAGCCAATTTTGAAAAGCAAATGCCATCATTTGCTATGAACACCAAACATTCATTCAATTAATGCTATCATACCAATGCCCTTTCCCACTTCTATTTATCCATCCTCTTATTACCATAGTTTTAACTTTGCTTGGATGGGTTCATATAAGTCATGAGAAGGAAAATAAGGATTATATTCTCCGGATTAAACGAATATCTGCACATGCGCTTGTAGTTAGGGATAAACGCATGATATTAAATTATGAATGTGAATTTTTAAAATATTATATTAAAATTTAGAAAATATTTGTTTAACAAAAAAAAAATAAAGAATACGGCATTATAAAATTTCAAGAATAAAAATTAAATCATCAATATAAAATAAATATTTAAATTATATTAAAATGTTTAAAGAATGTAATTGTCCTCTCAATTAGGGATGAACATGAGTTGGATTGGATCAGATTCCTGGTCAATCCGACCCGACTCGAAAAACATACACATTTTATCTAAAACTCAACTTGATTCGAGTTTAAAGTGACTTCATTTGACCTAAAACTTGAACTCGATCCGATACAATATATTTATAAAAAAATCTTAATTTTATTCAATAAAAAAGATTTCTAATTTTAAAAAAATAATATAGAGATATTACTGCAATTATCCCTAAATATATGAGGTATAATTACATTATTTTCAAGTCAAAGTATTTTTCACCTTAAATTCAAACCCGACCCAACTTGTACGTATCCTCTAAAAACTCCAACCACAACCAGAACCTGAAACTTAAAAAAACGACATAATAGAATCAGATCGAGTTGAAACCGTCAGATTCGAGTATCGTGCCCATCTATACTCTCAATCCATCTCTACTTGTAATAATTTACTATAGTAAGTAACAACATAAACCTGAACCATTCCTTGATTTGTTAATGAAGCATTGTTTGAAATGCTTTTAACTTTTCAGCATTATTTCCATCGATAGAAACTCAAATTTGCCACACTAGTGATGGTTAAACCACTCACTTCCAAACCCAAAGCCAGTCACTTATTCCTTGATTTAGCTTAAGAAAACACGACACCAAATCCGAACCCGAATACCAGGACATGGAAGTACAGTCCTATAGATTGGGAACATCAAGAAACAAAAACTACGATTCTGAACCAGTTGCTTTCCCGGATATAGTTGTTATCTCTCTTTGCATAGCACCCTTATCATAGGAATGTGTCGAGATCCAACAACGCCGGGGCATCTGGTCTTTAGTGCTTCGAATCTTCTTCCTCACAGAACTTGGAGTATTCTTCTGAATCCATCAAGTTTTTCAACTCCCCAGCATCATTCATTTCAACCTTTATGATCCATCCACCCTCATATGGGCTTGAGTTGACCTAAATTTTGGTGAACAAAGATTGCACACATATGAAAAAGTGAATACTATATTCCTAAATTGAATTCCAATAAAGCAATTAAGATGTAACACTTAAAACATTGAAATGATTCATTTAAGATAGCAGCTCATAGCAAATCAAGAGAAGCATTGCAAAATGAGGCCTGTTACAGGTAGTTAAGATCAATTAAAAAGTGAAAAAAAAATGAAGAATTGAACCGAGAACGGGAAGCATTCGGTATGGAAGAACGCAAGCATTATGGGGTAAACACAAGCACAACGGTGCATGCGTGCACGCTATAGGACAATTGACACGGTAAAAAGCTTAGAAGACACAATTAGTATAAAATCCGAAAGGAATAGTCTAAGATAGGATTGAAGAGCTAACCAAAGCAGGAGAGCTGCTGAGCCCTTCATTAACTTCAATCACTTTTCCCGATACAGGCGAGTTAACATCACTAGTAGCCTTGACACTTTCAACTGCTCCGAAACTGTCACCTTGCTTTACAGCAGCTCCCACTTCGGGTAATTCAACATACACAACATCACCTAAATGATCTTGAGCATGATCAGTAATACCAATAGTGGCAGAATTACCATTAACCTTCACCCACTCATGAGAATCAGCATATTTCAGGTCCTTTAAAACTGCAGGAACATGGAAGAGATGCATTAGCTGCAATAACACAAACAACAAGCAATGACAACAGAAAACGGGTAATCTAGTTACAACTCTATACAAAAGTTAAACTGTAAATTGCAGCTGACCAAGGCATTAAAAGAATTGAATATCCAATTAAATACAGACATCATATACATTTGAACAAGCTTATAGAAAATTGGTCTTAGCCTCATTTAGAAATAACAAGGAACTGTTCTTGCACAGAGCAAAGTTTGAAGTTATATAATAGTGAAAAAAAAGTTGAATATTGGTAACTTCAATTCCAGATGCGAAGCTCAATGAAACAGAAAAATCAGCAATTTACTGTAAGATCACAGATACGACACCCACCAAAGGTTGAGAAGATAAACATGCCAAGAATTTGGAAAGGAAAGCATCCTTTCTGTTTCTGCTAATTTGCCATTGCAAATTCTGATATAGTTAACAATACATACCCGTAGGCGAATATCCAAGACATTTCATTGACTCTGTTTAACAAAAAATGCTGCTAATGGCAATTGGACCGAGCCATGAGAATCAGAATGAACATGAAGGATTAATAAACAACATAATCTGCAAGCATTACATCCCATTAATCTGTTGCAGTAAATTGGTGTTGCAGCTATACCAAACCCTCCTAGCTTCTATTTATTCCGATACACTGAGGAAAGGTGCTTATATTTGCACCGCTATTTCCCGGATTCTTCACCTTTTTCTCCCTTTCATTTCCAAATAAGGGAACAATCTTCAAGCAACTGCATCAAAAGTTTCCAGGCGCCACTATCCCTCCACCGTTTCACCAATGTAATCACCATCAGTCCTAATGCTCTAATGCTAAGTATTTGACATATTTCTAATCGTACAAATGCTATATAGAGAATGAAAAAAAAGAAGGTTTTTTTTTTTAATTCCCAACAAATGAAAGGCTTTAGGTTAAGCTACTTTACTTAAAGTAAAGTTATGAATCAATACCTGCACATGATCGATCAGAAACAGAATCCAGAAATTTGGGACAAGTGTATATCAATTAGAAAGAAGAAATCCAAAACTTTTTAACACCATGTATTAGCATAAGAAAAGAATAACCTTTCACATAAATCAAATCCTTTCTACAGAAAAAAAAAGCGTTGGATCAATCCCAGAACTGAGATCCCGGGTACCATAACACACAAAACCATTTTTTAGATATCAGTGTCCTCACGATCGTATAAAAAATACAAAGGAACCATAAAAACAATAAAAAAGAACAGAGAGAAGAAGAAGAAGGAAATCGTTACCAGTGGAGAAACCTCTATGGAACACAGAGATCCTGAGGTAAGAAGCCGCCCTTGAAGCCCACAACATTGTCGAAGCCATCTGGAATGTAAATCTGGACAATCCTCAACACTGGTTCAGTCGTAGATTTGTAATTCAATACAAACTGCAAGTTACTTGTTTCTCTCCTACAAACCTAAGTACTGAGTGCAACAACAAGAGGCTTTTTATGTTTATATTTTTTGTGGGGTCGGTGAGTTTGTACCACTGTCGTTTCCCTTTTTTTTCATTAAAATAATTTATTTTTTCGGTTAGTTCATAAAGATGCCCCTCAAATAGTCTTATAAACGAATCGAACGTTTAATGAATTATTCGTGAATCATTCGGTGAAAAATTCGTTTATGTTTGTTTATTTATTAAACGAACGAACATGAATAATATTTTGTGTATGTTTAATTAAATGAACAAATAAGAACAGAAGGCTCGTTCGTTTATTTACGTTTAGCCCAATCTCTCTAGACCAATTTAAAATATCAAAGCCTAATAGATTTTAATCTGATATCCATAAATATTTTAAAATTCAATTAATTTTAAATAAAAAAAAACTCAAAAAACTAAATAAAATATAATCCTAAAATTGTTAAGAAAGAAAAAAATATATTTTCATTTGTGTTCGTTTACTTTCATTTATGTTCATTTATTGCGTTCGTTTACGTTCATTCATTTATGTTCGTTTACGTTAATTTATGTTCATTTATTGTGTTCGTTTACTTTCATTTATTTATGTTCATTTACGTTCGTTTATTGTGTTTATTTATGTTCGTTTATATATGTTCGTTCATTTGTGTTCATTTATCATTTAAATGAACGAATGAACAAGCTACATTCCTTAACGAACGAACACAAACAATAAATTTTTCATTCGTTTATGTTCGTGTTCGTTTATTTGTTCGGTTAAAGTTAAATGAACGAATATGAAAAACATACCTTCATTCATGTTCGTTCAGTTCGTTTACATGACTACCTCAAATACTATAAATCGTTGATAAATATCTAGACGTATTAATTGATTCTTAAAAGTATTAGTATATTGATAAGATTGTTGTCTCCTCCGTAAATTATAACTTCGTTGCCACTAGTGGTATCGAACCCTCTGAAATTTCCCTAAAATATCTTGAAGTTTTAATTTTTAACATGTTTATCTGATGGAATGCATGCACTCCATGAACCTTCGAAAGTATAACAAATGCAGGTATTGATGGAAAAGTTGTAGTAAAGAAAACCATCGACGTATCAATAAATATTTATTAGAGTAGTCACACATATTAATAATATAAAATTTTGCGCATATATTAATAATATAAAATTTTATATGAGTGAGTTCAAATAAAATTTAATATAAAATTTTAAAGAAGACATAATTAATAAAATATATAACTAATAAAAAAATTTAAATTTCAATGTGAACACTGTGAATCCACCACTAGAGAAGCCTAGAAGATTTGATTGGCAAAATTGGGTACAGTGAATGTCCGGAAGATACGAAATCTTATCAATGCTGGAGTTATAGATCCTTGTCGAGTTTCAAGGTGTGCCCTACGAAGTGCCGTCTCTGTTGCTGGTATAGTTTTAACCACTCAAGCTATAATGGTAGAGAAAACGAATCAGCCCAAGCCAGGCGTCCATAAGTAACAGTGGTAGATTCAAGCCGAATGAGTATCTGAAGAAGAAGGAAGCAAAGTTGCTGTATTCGCAAATGGTTAAAACAAACCTGTGAATCGAGTTGGCTTGATTCTCAAGAACCAAAATGGATTTTATCATGAGAGCCTCAAATACCATGGTACAATAAAGGTATAATATGATCACTTGATGTAACATTGCAGGTATGATCTATTTACATTTTTCTACTGGTAAAAAACTGCATACTAGTGCCTGCTATGGCATTAAGTTTGAGCCTAAGATGTTATTTGAAACAGTAATATACAAACGTAATTATAGTTTTAGAATAAACACATATTGAACTTCTGACGAGCTGAGACGAGCATAATCGAAGTTGCGAATGCTCTTTTAAGAACATAACTACCATTCAACGAAGATGATGCCTGCAAAATGAAGATAAAGTTAACAAGAGTTTGGTTTTAGGTAGTGTTTATGAGTACAACAAATTGATTAAAAGGCCTGAGAAAGCCGAAACCTGAGAGTTTCTTTGGTTCCTCGTCGAATTTTGCAACGGATAGTCGGGAGGCCAAGGCGCAGGTGAGCTTCATACCGATGGCAACCAGAGAAACCTGTACAGTTATGGTACATGTAAGTACTACCCTCCCACAAGTTATTCGCCTATGAAATATTTGATACATGTAAGTTCTACTGCTCGTTTTCTTTTGATAATAACTTCCAGATGTAGCCAAGAACTGAGTGGTTTACTATTTGAGAAAAAAGTACAGGATCCATGGGCACATACCATAGTAAACTCCATCAACATCAAGCACGTCAATCTGCAAGTAAAACAGATCCAGTATTCTATTAGTATTGTTCTTTGCCCAGTTTAAAGTCTCGGATTTCTTTTATATAGTACCCTCGACAACCTTAAAATGCTCAAAATTTTGAGCTCTTATATATCCAGATTCAGACAAAATGTGCAACTCACAATATTGAGTCCGGTGTGTGTAAAAGGATACTTCAAACATAGAAGTCTTCCACTTGTTCTAGGAACTAGATGTCCAACCACGGACGATCAAATTTTTTTTGACACGCATTTATGTCAAAACATACACATGAATTTATGTTAAAAGGGAAGATTTTATAAAATTTTAAGGGCGAAAACATATAATCAATAGAAAATATAATGAAAACTTCTAAAATATGTGAGAATTTAAAATTTCTGTAGAAGTGGCCGCCTCCACCAGCCTTATCGATTCATCCATGTCTCCAACAATTGTTCTTTAAAGCACTCTGAACCATTGCATTTACTTACTAAAACAAAGCAAGAAACCAAAGGAAAAAAAAAGCATACAGGCACTTGAAGTCCAATTTGTCGAATGCTGTCCATGAGTTCCTGGACTCTGTTAGGATCATTTGCTCTGGTGCGCATTAGGGGTCTCCTAATCTTTTCAAGCGGAAGCTCCAAAACCACTGGTCCACCGTTTTGTGAACCAGTACCTGGTGGAGCCCCTATATTAATTCAATTCCAGCAAAGAAGAACCAAATCAAATAAAAGTTAATAGTAATAAACCACTAATCCCAAGGTTATTACTTTGAACAGATACACCATCTCATCAGAAATGTTGGAAAAGGGCATAAAGAACACAACTTTATTAACATGGAAAGCTTTGAAAAGATCAGTACCGTTAGATGAAGCATAAACAGAGATGCTTCTCAAGTTGCTAGTCGGCAGTTGCAGTACAAAGTTGGCCATTCTTCTTTTTAACTATCTTCTTTAGTCTCAACTCGAAGCTTGTGTCTTTGCTCTTTAGTGCTGGCTTTAATCAGAGCCACTCAAAAATGGCTAAAATAAAAAATCAGAGCCACACCAACTTGCCCAACGTCCACAAGAGGCAAAGAATTGGGTTGGCCCAAAAATATTCAATGGCTTAGATCAGCCCACCATCATAAATAACTAGTTTAAGAAGAGATTACTTTGTTCACTTTCAGAGTAACCTTTACGTGGAACACTTAGAGAAACAGAAAATGATCCAGAAATCTATGGCTGCTCTGACCTCTTTCTCTCTTCTTCGGTACTTTTTATCTTTTGTTGAAATTTTCCTTTAAAAGGAACATAGAGATAAACATTGATTCTGTGTATTTTGACTGGTATAGTAATTATACAACGACTGGAAGGATTTCTGCAAGTGTTAGAACCTCTCCAGGACTCTCTGCTTATCCCAGCTCCATCAATTTTCTAACAGCAAATCGCTCACGCAGGTTTTTCTTTTCTCTTTCAATTCATTTGGTAGAGACTAGAGAGAATGTTCAATCGGATTCTAGTTGTGATGGTGCCCGTGTTTTTCTTTTCTAGTCTAGTTAACTAGAGAATTGAAGAGAAACTGTACAAATTATATATTGATTCTTTTTATTGGCCTTTCTTGATATCTCTGAATCACTCTTTGTAGATATCTATGTCATGCTAGTGCTACACACGATGAAGAGGCTGCTGCAAAGGCAGCTGCAATCAATGCTGATAGTGGAGCTCCAACCATGTATCTTCTATAACACCCTGGTTTGATTTCACGTTCCAGTTCTTGTCTGGAAATTGTTTTGTTGAACCTTTCGGAATTTGGAATTTCATCTCCTTTTTTATACAAGTTTTAGAAGAAAGGACCAAAACTTTGGGATGGAGGAGTGTTTACTTAAAATGTTATAATGTTCAACTTAGAAAGTTATATAATCAATAATAATTCTGGTTACAATTGAGAATATTACAGTGCGGTGGGTTTTAACCTAAAATGTTACATGTCTACTCTAAACACAATTGGTAATAATTTTAGTTACAATCGAGAATGTATTGACGGTAACCTTTTAGGTTTCAACCGGAATAATTATGCGAGAAACCTAATATTTTAGGTTTCAACCTAAAATGTAATCCAAATTACTCTAAAAAGATACTCTTGATTGGTAAGTTTTTCAATTACAACCGATTTCTACGGTTTTTAATCTTATATTAGCTAGTTGTATTTTAGACTCATCCAAATCTTTGGAAGAACAATCTGTTAAGTTTTATGGAAGGTATTTGTAATTTTGTAAAGCTAAACTTTAGACAAAAGAATTGATTCTGCTGATTAATTCTCTATGAGATATGGAAGAACGGGGAAGCATATTATTATTAGCAACTAAAATGTTGAAGCTGTTTACCTATTGTATTAGTTTCTGTTTCCTTTTCCTTGGACTCGGATTTGATAAGATCATATCTAAGGAAATTCCTTCAACCATTGTGTATGAAGATGATAAAGTCTTAGCATTCAAAGACATCAATCCACAGGCTCCTGTTCATGTTTTGGTCATTCCAAAGTTTAGGGATGGATTGACACAGCTCGGAAAGGTGTGTAGGCCTATTATCCATATTTCTGTTGCATAACTTGGCTGGACCATATGTGAATTTTGCTGTTGTAATTGATTAAAGTTTACCTTTTGCTGCTTTTCTGCATTTTGACCATGGATCCATTAGTCAGATGGACTCAGAAAAGACTTATCTGCATACCGGATCCTTTTGCTGCATCTCCTTGATGGAATACTTCTCAGGTTTTAATTTCTGGTTTATAACCTGTCAGGCTGAACAAAGACATGGAGAGATACTGGGTCAACTTCTCTATGCTGCCAGAATCGTTGCTGAAAAAGAAGGCATTCTTGACGGGTTTCGAGTAGTCATCAATAACGGTTCAAGTGCCTGTGAGTTATCATCTTGGTTTTCATAGTTTTGACCTGTTTTTCACTTCAAACTTCACATGCTCATGTTTATACATCTCTCTATCAGGTCAATCAGTTTATCATCTTCACTTGCATATCCTGGGTGGGAGACGGATGCAATGGCCTCCAGGTTAAATAGCTGAATCGCCAAACGTATGCCTTTATATTCCTTTGTGCTTTTTATGTCATCGTTTCTGGTGTTTGAGAGGGTCTAGTGTACTTTGAAGTTGTAGAACTAACTATTTAATCACTTGGGGGAAGCAAAATGTTGATCAATTCTATCACTATCCAATTCTTACAAATAGGGATGGACCGATGAGAGAGTCACTCACTACAAATTTAAAATTTCTATATATTTTTTTATATTTTCAATTGAAAATTTATTTTCGTCCCCTAAATTTTATAAGTTCGTCATTTCTTAAATTTTCATAAATTCAAACCTAACATAAAATCATGTGTATGTCTCCTACTTATAAACACTGGTGGTCGCCGTTAGGAATAGTTATTGTTGAAGTTCACTCAAGGATCACCAAAAGATTATGCTTAGAAGAGGATGTTACTATATTCATAACACTGCAAGGTACAAGCACAACAAAAGAAATAAATTTATAAAACTCAATGATGAATAAACCAACTAGTTGTTCGTTGATGTACTAATAGTTGATGAATATTAGTTTGAATCTTAAGAAATGGATTTATGTTGTCTTAAATGTTCTTGGTTAAAATGCACTCATCGACCTCTGAGACGAGTTTGATTTGAAATATATACATTATTATATTTTTAGAGATATTTTTTGAAAATATTATTTTCGTTTATGATTCATTCGAAGTCGCATACTTTTTGGATAACTATAGTTCTGTGATTTAATATCTAATAATCTCCCGTGATTTATCATAGTGAAATCTCATATTTAACAACCACATCTATTTAGCATGTTGATTTACGAGTAGTTATATTTATCTTATGTCTAACAACATCAGCTAAGGTCACTATAAATACTTCTCAACCACAACTAAGAGAAGGTTCTCTCTATTTTCTTCTCTTTCTTCACTCCCATCTTTCATGTGTCTTTCGCATAAAGACACCAGCCAACAACCATTATCTCATCGATCGTGATTTTCTACTCAAACTATAAAGGATAAACCGTCAACGTTCAATGAGATAAACTTATTAATAACAACACCTTCAACGATCGATGAGATAAATTTATTCTTATCAACACATTTAATATTTTAGTCTTCTCACATATGTTACGCATGAAGAATATCATGGTATATGTTTTAAATAAATAATAATAAAAGAATTATAAAAAACATATATAATTAATATTATCATTAATTTATGTAGTTTAGAAAATTTTAATTAACTTAATATTAAACTAATTTTATTTTTATTTCAAAATGTAAAATATAATCATTTCGAGTATTAAATAAATGTCAATAAGATCCATGTGGTGTCTCATCCATCACAATTTCAGCCTAAAGATTAGAGGCAAGACTAATGGATATGAGGGTAATTTGTTTTCTTCCCACCACAAAGAAGGAAAGGCTGTGAATTCAAGAAAAGGGACTCTTTGACTTTCTTCCCCAAATCCTCAATGTAAACTTCAGTCACTAGACTCTTCACTAGGGTATTCATAGTAGGTTAATCCTATCATTTAGTCTACACGACCGGTTAATTATTATAACAATTATTAAATTTTATTAATCGAAATTTAATCATTAAAAAAAATTAATCGTTATTAACGGTTCAGTTACAGGTTAACATGTGATTAACTTATTCCATTTTTTTTCAAACACAACACGACATAAAAATTTCAAAATTTAATAAAATTTACAATAATAGAAATGTATATATTTGTAAATATCTTATTTATTTGTAGATGTATTTTATTTTATTTTCATAGAAATATATATATTTTGAGGTATATTTATTTTCTTGATTTAAAATCTAATGTGTATATTCATATTTTATAGTTTAAAATCGAATATTTTTTTCTCTATATTTGATTTAATGTGCTCCTATATAAGATAAACATAATAACTAAAAAATAGGGAGGATCCATTTTTATTTTATTTCTAATTTTATTCTTTTTAAAAATATAATTAATTAATTATAATTTATTGACAGTTAACATATGCTTAACTTTTTAACAAAATTCATAATTGTAATTGTTAACCGGCTTTTTAGCGGTTCGATTAACTAAAATCGTAGAACTTTAACGATTTGATTAATTAACTTATAAAATATAATGATTACATCGATTAACTGTTACGATTAACAGTAACGAATTAACACTCCTACTCTTTATCTCGTATATTAAACAAGGTGAAAATTTATTCAAAAATGAAAATGTTTCATATCTTTTGATATATTCTGCCTTGTCGCTGATAAAATGATACTTTTCAGTGTTTTTGAACCTAATTATTTTGCATTTTGAGCACATTTGATGCCTTTTGTTTGATTTAACATCAAAATTCTTATTTACATGTATTTTTAACAATAATCAACTCACTTAATTTTTTCAAAAGCTTTTGTATAAGTACAAATAAGTTCAGATATGAAACAAATGTAAAAACGGTGATGATCAGAGCTCTCGTGACACACACAATGCATGTCATAACATATATTGTTCAAAAAGCTAGTGTGATATAATCTTACTTTTTTTTACTTTAAGGACATTTTTATCTTTTCACTTATAAAACTTTAATCTTGTTTGTTCTTATATATTTTTTTAATAGTATAAGATAATTACAAAGTAGTATTCTTTTAGATTCTTTCTTAACTAGTAACAACTTTCATACACCCGCACACGCAGCTGCTTGAACTTAGAATATCTAGAGAGAACAACCCTTCATTTAACTAATGAAATCACTTGATGGATTCTTATAAATAGAGAAATTTTGGAGAACATTTCAAGGTGTGATATAATGAGACAATAAAATTTTACTAGAGTAGTTAGATTTTGGTAGAGAGAAAGATAGTAACACTTAGCTTGTGTTTTAGAAATAATTAGCAATTTGTAAATACTTAAATTTTAATTAATGCAATTTTCTTTGATTCAAAAAATTAATATAGCAGTCTTTCTTCTTGTCTCTTTTTGTTGTTTGTAAGTATAAATATTGGGCCATTCAAAGAAAACTCTATAATATTAATAAACGATACTCAATATTTGAGAACTCTTAGCTTGTCTTATTGATAAATGATATTCAATATTTGAGAACTCTTATGAGATTTTAATGATGTACTTACTCATTTTTTATTATATTGGCCTTAAATGTTTCAGGTCTATAATATTGAATATTTTAATTTCATGTTACACTAAAAAGTTTATGCGGTTGGGTCGTGCCCAAAATGAACAAGTTAGGTTCTTGATCTAACTTGAATAATGGCGGATTCAATTGTTTAAGATAGGTATGTGATTATATTAAAATTTGAATCTTCTTCGGTTAATTATTTATTTTATTAATTTTTCTATCTTGAAATTTTAATTGTGTCTACTTCGATTAAAAATTGTATGTTATTAATATATGCGTCCACTCTCAAAATTATTTTTAGATATATCACTAACCTTGAGGCTCTACTTTTATTAAAATGATATTAAAATATTATATTAATATTAAATATATAAAATAATATTATTTTTGGTGTAATGATGTTGAAAATATTTTGATGTTTCGATATAACAAATAAAGTGTTAATAAATTTTAAGATTTTATATTCGATTTAAATATTATATTCAAATCTATTATTTGAATATCACAAATATTACTCCAAGTTTTCAAATATCAATTTTACTCCTTACTTAAATGAAAAATTGTGTTTCACTCTTAAAATATTTTTGAAATAATTTTTACAAAGTACTTCGAACCATAATCTAGTCAAAATTGAGTTTTTAATAGGAAAGTATCGATACCTCTTTAAAGAGTATCGATACCCCTCAAACATTAAATGCAAAAGAGGTACTGATACCCTAGAGGGTATCGATACCCCTTTATATATAGGTACCGATACCTAGCCAAAAGGTACCGATACCCCTCAGTTGATTTTGACTCTGAGAAATAACATAATGCAAAATGGGTACCGATACTATGACATGTATCAATACCTCTTTAAATTGTAGTATCGATACCCCCTTGAGAGGTATTGATAGTATCGATACCCCCTTGAGAGGTATTGATACCATCAGTTTTACAACGGTCGAAATATTTGAATTTTATACAGGTAGTATCAATACCCCTATGAAGGAGTACCCATACCCATACGCTCCTAACAGATTTTTGAAGTAGAAAACATACCACAACGGCTCTATTGACTTCATCATCATCCCCCAATGTTTAGAATTCATTCAAGGGGTATTTAAACAAGTATTGAAGCCATTGATGAAGAATAAGAAACAAGTTTTGAGAAAGAATTCAAAGAGAGAAAGCCTTAAACTTATTGTTTGAGCAATTCAAGCCAAAATCCATTCAATATTCATTTTACTTTCAAGAACACCATTTGTGCTCAATTGTATTCATTCTTGAGTGTTCTTTCCTTGTTCTAGAATTGTGCAAACATCTTACTTTGTGAGGTTTTTCTGTAAGTTTGCAAAGTTTGTAATTTTCTCTTTGAGAAGAGAGTGTCTCAAGAATTTAGGGTATAATTCTTGAGGGAGTTGTAAGGTTACTCTTTGTCCTCAAAAGAAAGACAAATTAGTGAATTTGTGGAAAATCCTTAGTGTGGATAGTTAAGGTAGTAGACTTAGATTTGGTTCAAAAAGTCGAACCACTCTAAATCGCTGTGCAAATTATTTCTATATTCTGTCAAAGCTTCCACCAATATTTTTAATTGCCAATTCACCCCCTATTGGTTATTTCATCATATCGATTAACTCAACAATTGGTATCAGAGATACACTCATTTGAAGGTTTTACCACCGTTTGAGAAGATCTGTGAAGAGTTCAATCGATATTCAAGTCATCAATGGTCTCTACATCAAACTTCGACTTCGTTCTTGATTCTCAGCCCGTCAACAAGCCTCTATTCTTCAATGGCTGATAAATGCTTAATTTAGTTAATATTTTACTTTTAAATTACTCTTTAATCACTGATTTTTATGGCTTATTTGTTCATTTTAATTCATTTTCTATACAGGACGTAAGATTATGGATATTGCACAAAAAGGACACAATTCTGTAGATTTTTTATTTTTAGAATCAAAGCTGGCTGAAATTCGGATTTGGATTAAACTCAAATTTAGGATAATATTTTAAACATTATATTTTAACTTTGTAT